TTATCTTCCTCGAATGCCATTGGATCGCAGAGAGACACGGGATTGGCTGCGGCCAGGTGGTACAAAATGTCTGCGCCCTAATCCGACGCCACACCACAACACTACACTAGATTTTGTTATTTTGCGCTTGTGCGGAGTTCTGGTTAATGGGTCCGGATGATAGTACGTGCTCTAGATTCCAATTTAGAACTCTCAGATTCGTCCAGGAAACTATCTGAGAACGAACCATGTAATAAGATATAGGCATCATGCATGCATGTACCTAAGTCATCTTTCATTTGACAATGCTCGTTCGTGGCAGCAATTATTAAATTATAGTGGGCTACAATCGTTTTAACTCTATCTGTGTGTGCATTATTTCAATAAGCCTGCGCACTTGCTTTAGCATTTAATAATTTACTCGGCACTTTATCAGGCCCCCAGTTATATTAAGGGGAAATATCTTGGGCTGCGATTCGCGTCTATTTGAATTGTAAACCACAAACAGTTTAGGAGTTTTGTTAGCGAGCAACATATTTTTGCAAATTTGGGTGGCTAAGTTAAGTAACATTTACTCAACTTTGGTAAATTTCTCGTCTTTTCTGTTCCAGTGTACCCAAGTCTCGCTTTGACTATCCCTACCGTAAGTAATGTACTAAACCATAATTATTTTAGTGGATTGCTACTTAAGTCTAACAACATAAATTGCTATTGTGGGCAAATTTGAGTTTCGTTTTGTCGATCTAGCCAGCGTATGCTTTGCATCCCCCCTTCCCATGGTATTGTATTTGTGTCCGCCTCCTCTTAAAACTCATTACCCATGTTTTTTGTCCACTAATTCGTGAAAGTATCGTCAGAGCAGTTTGAGTTGTTTAACGATCCCTTGGATACCGGCTATGGGGTGGGCCATTTTGAATTCTTCATTTTTCGTCGGTAAATACGGTGAAAGTGAGCATAGTCGGGGCTACAATAATCTTATCTAGTTGCACATGAACAGTGTGGCAGTGTTACTGTCACATAGTCTTGTTTAGAATGGCTATTTCTGGATCAGCTAGCAGCTTTTCTTTGTGTCTCAGATAACAGAGACCATTCTATGTCTTTTGTTCGACTTCCACCTAGTAATTAATTGTCTTCTAGATTACCTGCCTACTGACTCCGAGCTCAGCACCCTGGCATCGCTCAAACGGTCGAAAATCGCCAACTGCACCGACTTAGTTGAACTTGCTGTGGCCGCTCAGACTGCCGCCAATTTTGTTAATGCAAGCGCCAACACGAAGCTACGCGAGATAGTGGCTCAAATGCTCGCCCTCAAAGATCGTGCTGTCGAGGTGCTGGAGGAGGCGAAGCGAGATGCCGAGCTCCATCAGGCCGCGTGTAACATGGTCAAAAAACCCGGCGGGATATACTACTTTTACGAAAAGTCGAGCGCCAGCGGCGGTGGGATGGTCGCCTCGATAATTTCACCACAGGAGTGGGGCGAGAGTTGTCCGCACTCGGCGTATGTCGGCGCCTTTCAACTGCAGACCGATCACTCCTGGAGGCCGCTTGATGTCGAACGAAGCGAACGTGTTAACGAGGTAGAGGCCATTGTCCAAAAAATGCGAGAACATCCGTCGCTGCCAAATGCGATCTTGGACGTCTGCGGAAATAAGGACCCTCAGTAGTAGAGGTCGCATTCCTGGATGACGGGCAGCACCACACGGCCGGACGTTTATCATCATTTGAAACAGCCACAATTAGGGGCTCTTTCTATGCCAGATTTGAACTTTATGGCAGTAAATAATATCTGAAATAAGCATGGCCTTATTTTGAGGGCGTGGTTACCTTAGTTCCATCTGTTCATGGTTGTATTTACAACCAAATAAGCTTGCTGCGCATCAACAACTGTTTTGGAAGTCGGTTGTCATGCTTATCGACGCCAGTGTTCTGCGTTTTTTCCGAGCATCTTTTATTTCTACTAACAAAGTATAAGCAGCGCGGTTATCATTAGACGGGTTCTGATGTGTCCTCTCTGTCAGTTTCCTTTTCAAATTGAGGTGTTTTAGCTGAAAACCTTGTCTGTCTTTGAAGCAAGTCGGTAATTTTAACAAGAAGAACTTTACTGAGTAGGCGACGGTGATTTAAGGTGTTAAGTTTAGTTTGAACATCTTAAAATGCCTACATTCTCAGCTTTGATTTTCGGGAAAATTTGGGCAAATCTCACAGCCTTCACATAGACGACTCAAGCTTGAATTCTATTGGCTGCATGCTTCGTCCAATGAACTTCGCCACTGCTTAACCCCAACGCCCTTGAAATGTTGTTTTTTGGCCAATAAGTGTACAAAGCATGAACACCGGCCAATCCCAATACTAGAACGAGCTTCCCTCAATACACTGCCGTTTAGTTATTGCATAATATTGTTCTTCGCCTTGAGCTGACTGACCACCGTTTAAATAGTATCGAGGCCAAAATGGCACGCCATTTAATTTGTTCACATCGCATGCAGTTCTATCAGAAACTAAAATATTCCTCATTAAGGCATCTGCAAATTAACTATTTTTTGTATTGGTAGGATATTTAGACGACTGATTCACATATTATTTTAAAAATACACACAGCACTTTTGAGGTATATCCCACAAGCGACATCGCGCCATCTTCGTTATCCATGTTCATAAAGGTGCATTGTCAGAAATCGATAGAAGGCTAAAATTAGCCAACTCGGCGGCATACAAAGCTATGGAGGTTGTTATGGCGACAGCACATCTGTCGGTTTAAAAGCAAAATTCTTTTCCTGAGTCATGTTTGCACAGGCACAAGCTCTCGACCAATAGAATTGCCGGATTTGTGCGCTACACACTCAAACGTGTGTGTACGTGTCTAGGTTGAGAAAGAAATCTTTATGCTTATTTTGAGCAGAGATGAGAAGATTTGATATAAACGTCGACGATATTGGATGGAGAGTTTGTTCCAGCAACACAATTGGAGAGATCAAAGAAGCCCATTGCAAGAGGCTTAATGTTGACCCTCAGACGGTCGTGCTCAGGTTCCAAAATCAAGTCCTTGAGGACAAGAAATCCGTTGGGTTCTACGACCTCAAACACGACTCAAAGCTAACCACGGAGCTAATCACCACCACGCCGGAAGTCAGGATTCATTTGAACCTACCCGACAACACAGAGGTGTCACTGACAGTCAGTCTAAATGCCACCGTTCACGAGATCAGAGAGAAACTTCAGCCGTGGATAGGTGAGAAGAAAGTCGTCCTCATCTTCGAAGGAAGGGTTCTAGAAGATCGCCATCATCTTACCGACTACGGCATCGGTGAAAACGACCGGATTAGGGTTGTGCGAGCCATTGAGCCAGAACCATCAACAGAATCAGCCATCGGGAAATCTGTGAAAGGCGTGCATCTTTCCAACCGTCCACAGCAGTCAAGCACCACTACAAATGAAGCACCGCTTGAGATAGAGGTTCACTTTCACGACGGTGAACGCCTCTTTCCCGTAATGCTGCAAACCAACTGCCCCGTTGATTATGCCATTTGGGTTTTGAAGCATAGCTCAAAGCTGAGGGGCAGACAGTTTCGTTTGAGCAGAGACGGCGTCGTCCTGGACAATGCCAAGTCATTAGATCATTACGGAATTAATGACGGGAGTCATGTGGATATCTGTTGATTTTCTGCGCAGTGTTTGTCTCTGAATACTAACCGTTATATTCCAAACTGAGTCTTATTCAGCAGAACGGATAATGGGATTTGCTAGTGATCAATTCGTATGGAGCGATAATATAATTACGGCACTGGTTTGAACTGCCACAGTTGTATTGGTGAAAAGGCTAAAATAGACAGTGGTGCATGCGGATCCAAACCTTTATGCCTGGGACTAGCAATATGTATTTTCAACACCACGTTTTAACTTAAATACGCAGTTGTGGGTGTCAGGAGGGGTGGAAATCACATTTCAAGGCAGTCCTGCCAATGGCTCACGCGTAGTGCAACTTTACATCGATCACGTGACGTGGATGATAAAAATCGATGCGCAAATTAATATCGAGGATTGTGAAGCACCAATCATTGGCGTGGGTTTCGCGCGGGCACACCGCCTTGCAAACTGAGGAGAGGTTAATTAAAATTCAACTACGATATTTCTTTGAGCCTCATTGTCTCAAAAGGCGCGTTTTTTAAAAAAATTACCACTGGGACCAATTACCCGGTCGCGTACTGTAGCATCAGGGGACAGCAATTAAAATGAATTTTTAGTCGATTTGGTGGGGGATTACAAAAAGCTAGTGTGATTTCAGACGCGTTAAAGTAACTAAGACGGCACAACGCTTCACGCTTCAACATAACTGATCTTTTAATAGTCATAATTGAGTCTGCCTGATTAGTACTGTCAATCACTTTTTCCCTCAAACAAGTGCTGCTGTTGTTGGATAATTACCACACAGAGAATAAGCCAAAGAAACACCCCTACTTTCAGTCAACTTCGCCATATTAATTAGAGGAATGAAAAATTGAATTACAAGCTCATTTGCCACATAAGTTCGTCGCACTCACGCACGCACCAATGATTGTGCGAAAACAACCAATCAGGTGGCAGATATCGATCCTCGGGCACGCAGACACCCAGATGCTCAGACTGGTAGGCATTTTAGCGCTGTCATTTCCACAAGAATGCAAGTCCGAATCGTGCACAAGGGCAGCGACCTGCTTACCGTAAACGTCGATGCAGAGACTACAGTTAGCCAGGTGAAAGAGGCGATCACTCAGGCCATCAAGGTCAGACCGAAGGATCAGATACTCACCTCGAAGGGAATTTTCCTCGAAGACACACACACCCTCGGCAAATACGGCGTCTACGACTGGGGCTCTCTGGAACTGCATTTGCGTCTGAACAGCCAAAAAATCATTCCAGTTCGTGTGGCTCTCTCGCCTACCGAGGTGGTGACGATACCGATTCGTTCAGATGCAACTGTCGATGAGTTGAGACTGGAGATCTCGAAGCGCACAACGCGAGAACACTTCAAGGTGTCTTCTGCCATCCTCGTCTACTCGCATTGGGTGCTTGAGAACGGACATCGGTTGGAGGAATACGGTGTGAATGAAAATGACTGCATCACTGTTGCTGAGGCATTGGCTCGCGGAACTCCACCTGCTGTGGATTCGAACGAGTCCTACGACTACTGTGAAGGCTTCCAAGGAATGCGTATTGAAGGGGACGCGCGCACTCAACCAGCACCACCACCGCCACCACCGCAACAGCTGCCACCACAAGCGGTGAGACGAAAGAGCTATCAAACTGTTGAGCCAACATGCTTACAAGTTCACTTCTTGTCCAACGACGGTGATCCCCTCACACTGCCGATTCCACGAACTCAGACACTGAAGTCGGTCTGCAGTTATGTTCAAAAAGCTACAGGCATACCCGTGGAAAATCAGGAATTCATCATTTCCGGTGAAGCGGTGGATCCGGAGCTGACACTTCTGCAACTCGGAATTCAGAATGATGATAGCATATTTTTGAATGACTCTCGGTTAAGAATTCCTACTCTGGATCAGAAAAAGCATGCTACGTCCACGTCCTTGAGGGCACCAGCTGTAAAGCAAAAGAGTTTCAAAGACTTGGAAGTCAATTTCGACCTGGGAGACGGCTATATTACACTGGTCCTTCCAACTAACTCCACCGTTGACCAGGCAATACGTGAATTAAGGAAGGCCTTGAAGCCGACTAACTGCAGATTCGAACTGCGATTTGAAAATCGCCACCTGGAACCATCCAGGTCCTTATGCGAATACGGGATACACAGTGGGAGTGTAGTGAATGTAGTCGCAGTGCCCGAGATTCAGCACTACAGAGCCAACACAGGATTTCTCTAAAGATTTTATTGCCTGTTTGGTGTGTCACATTAATCAACCGCCGTTTGCTTTAACCAACAACTGAATTTTTAACACACATGGCGCTCATTTCGAATTATCGTTGCTTTTTATTTGCACTACAGAGCCAATGCAGGGTTCCTATAAAGATTTTATTGCTTTTTTGGTGTGTCGCGTTACTTGACTGCCGTTTGTTTTAATCAATAACTGGATTTTTTAAAACACACGAGGCGCTTATTTGGAATTATCGGTGCCTTTTATTTGTCAGGGTAAATCCTAGTCCTAAACAACGCTTTTAATCTGTCTGTCTGCAGCACTAAAGCGAGATCTTCCTACTGTGTTGAATTTAAGTAGAAAATGGAAGTAAGACACCGCCACTTGGTGTTGTATTATGCCTCAATAATGTAAATTAGCCGTCATTCAGGAAATTCCGCTTAGATTTCTCAAATTCACGTCTAAACACCGCAAGATGTCCATTCAAAGTTATTATTTGGGGTTTGGTGTTTCCACAGTGAGGCTATCAGCATTACAGTCTTGATGAATCTGGTACATCGAAATGCTGCCTAGACGTCAGCTGGTTCTCCAAGAATTGTGTTTCTAAAAGCAATATTGATCACTTCAGAGAGGGCTAGCAAGATGCGGAACTAGCAGTATTACAGGAACCATCTAAAACCGATGCATTTGGAACACACGTAGCATCTCATCACACAAAGGTACTATTAAATAGGTACTTCAGGACGTCTAGCATCAGCACAACAGCCCCCACACCCCAAAGCGTGCTTTCGCCTTTATTTATTTACTAAAATTTGACAGTCCATCGCTTGCGCAAGTCGCTACTAACGGACTGGCCATTGGCGTGCAGTGCTGCAAAGATGGCGTCAAGCATGGACTTCTCCTCTCCCGACAGAAGCATCAGAGTTAAGTCGAAGTTGGCGGTCTGTCCAAAGGCCTCCAGAGTGCGGAGCACGGCCTGTGGATCTTCGGAGCACCAAGCCTCTAGGCACTGCAAAATTTGCGGCAGAATCTGCAGGGCTCCACTGGACGCGAAGAGCTCCTGGAGAAATTTGGGTGTCTGAGCGGTGAGCAGGCGAGCACAGGGCGTTATCCACGAGTCGTTCGACTGGCTAGTCGCGAGGTCTCTCCAGCGTTGCAAAAACTTGTCGAGTTTGTCAAACTGCTCCTGTGGAATAAAAGGCAGTCGTTTAATTGCAGGGCTGGTAAACCGAGGTCGAATGGTGCATCGCGGTTCCACGCTCCGCACCCTTGGTTAGAAACAATTCAATTTCATCCACGTCAACAAGACTTCGAAAACGGAAGGAAAAAATGTTCATACTACTTAAAACAAATCACCTTTCGGGTAAACTCGCGATGGAAGCTGAAAAGCGCGCGCGCACACACACACGCACGCACATAACTGCTGCTGCCACGGTGGGATGCACAACCATCCAATCAGCTTCCAGGCACGCACACGAACGCACCAATCAGAAGGTCAGTTTGCATAAACGCAAGAAGGTATAAGTTCACTGGAGCTACTTGAAGAAGCAGCAGGAGCTAGAGCATGTGCTTCAAGGTCACTTGTCCAGATTGTGGAAAGCCGACGTGGCAAGGTAAGCCAATTCGACGACATAGTTGGTGATGACCTTCTTTTTTTCCACGAAGGATGTGGCATGCACATCGAGCAGGCGTTGAAGGACGTTCCGAAGGAGGAGAGGTGCGAATGCGTCAAAAAGAGCAAATGATGCCGAAGCGCAAACCCCTACGTGTTTCAGAATAAAATATGGTGCTTAAGTGACTTGCGTTTTGCCCCTAGTGGATGCGTTGGTCGGGCAGCTCAGCAGCTGACGACGAATTGAGAGTTCATGGAGTGCTGTTTGCAGAGGTTGAGGGACTGGAAGCGATTATTTTACACTGTGACATTGTTTATTTTACGAGTATATTAACAAGCACCTTTCTTGAGTTGACGCAATCGTTAGAAATCGGTTTATTCACACCAATTTTGGTCAAGTTTAACGGCTACAATGAAGCCAGAATTGGAGAGGAATTGTGCCGTGCGAGTGGTTTTTGCGTGCGGCGATGTGATGAGTGCAAATCACCCAAGCCACTGTCGAAATCAACACGAAGCGTGCGACATCACTCCGATGCCGCCAGACCACAGCGCGTGGTGCAAAAAGACCGTAAAAAACTAGAAATTTAGAATCTGGGAATGCTCCAAATTCAACATAATTTGAACTGCTGAACTGCGACACGTAATACGTTAGGAGACAGTGATAGGAAATGATAAAGAGCCCACAATTGACTTAAAAATGCATTTTTTTCAAGAACACTTGCTCTTAGATACTTTGTTTTTGAGTCTGGGAAGGAATTGAACGGACATTCAATGAAAAATGGAATTACACGGATCGTGTTGGGTACTGTGTTGGATTTTTGCCACGTTCGATGCAGAACCATCCGTCTGGGTGACCTTCAACGTAGCTCTGATGTCAATTGGACTTCGAATTGGGCAAATCTGATTAGAAAGGATCAGACGCAAGATTACAGAACACCGAACAGCAAGTCTACGTGAGTTACGTAGCCTCTCAGAACACCAGAATCTGCGATGGCAACCGATGAACAGCACATTCGACGGCACTGCATTTTACTCTGTTTTTAGCACAGGAGCCAAGTTGTAGTGTTCTTGGTGCCGACATTGTGTCGTGTGAAATCTGTAGTTATTGGTACAGGCAGTTACGAAGTGGTGATTTCGATCGTGGAGGCCAGAAGTGCCACAGACGGGCTCGAAAATTCGGAGACGAAGGATAGCAAGCTCTCCTGGATGAAGACTCAATACAATCGCGACACGAGCTTGCAACAGCTCAGTTAGGAGGCACCCAAACAGCTATTTCCGAGCGTCTGCACCAAAAGCCGCAAGTTCATAAACCTAGAAGTTGGGCCCCACATGTGCTTGCCGAAGAACTTGATCAGAAAGGGCAATTTAGTGGACAAGGAAGGAGGCAAGTCATACTGCCGATGCCGCATGACAACGCTCGACCACCTCTCACGTTGCCCGCGCCACTCAGAACACCCCCTTGACCTTGGGATGAGTTCGCTCACACGCGACTTATTCACCAGGCCTGGACCCATCCTACTACTATTTGCTCCGGTCAATGCAGTAGCAGCAGCAGCACGCCTTAGCGGATGAACAGTTCAAGACGTTGGACGATGTGTGTGAATTCGTCCATGATGACTTCATTGTCTCGAAGTCGGCAAATTTCTTCTGCGACGGTATTCGTGCGTTACCTGAGAGATGGCGCACTGTCGTAGAAGACGACGGACAATATTTCCAAGGGTTACGGTCGTCATTCTCAGTTTTTAATATTACATAAATTTGCTGAAATATCTGTAAAAATTAAGTCACACGCCTATTAAAATTAACAAATGGGACGACCTATCTGCCGGGATACAGCCCCACTGGATAGGTGCTGTTGTGGTAGTTTTACCTCAGAATGGCCTAAAGTGAAATTGGCCTAGGAATCTAGCAGGAAATATGGGCCACCAGGAAGATGTGATGTATTTCCATTTCACAGAACCTCTCTAAACGGAAGTGAACCTGCTGACACCGCTAGGTTGCCTTGAGCTAACTCAGTCAACCTTGGAACCAGCAGAACGACGACAATCAAAATGGTGGATTAGTGAAGGTGCAACTCACAATTGAAGGGCTGTCAGGAGTGGAATTGTTGGTAGTGGAGACGCCCGAAGGAGGGTAGCTTGACGTGTGGTTGGTGCAGACGAGGGCTGGTGCCCAGCCCGCGTACCGCTTGGTCGCGTCTTCAACCTCCTTCAGCTTGAGCGGGCGAAGCTCACACCCGTCCACGATACCCCTGTCAATGACAAATTGCAGGTCATCAGACACAGCCGACGGGGCGTCTGTGACTCCATCGTGCTTTCAAACGGCTGTTTCCGAATCACTATTTTTACTATCCAACCACTGGCACTTGAACAGGCATTTCCATGAAGAATTTGTGGTCTTTGTCAATACAACTTCGAATTAACTCGTCAAAAGAGCTACACTTATTGAAAGCATTTAAACAACTTGTAGATGGATAAGGCCAACGTGACAGGTCTTCGACTTACCGGAACTCGTCGTAGGTGGCCACCTTTTGGTGAACAGCCCTCAACTTTGCGTCGTTCTCCTTCCAATGGCGTTCCTCGTGACGCACAGCCCTCTGCAAATCACTCTCGAGCCTATCCACACTCAGATCTAGCGACTTGAGGTGACTCTCTGATTTGGCCTTGTCAACGTACTCCATTAAACCTTGTAAAAAATACATAACAAATGGCGTAGTTGTTAAGGAATGACTAAATGGTACTTCAGGTCAGTGTAAACATGCCACGAGGCGAATTCGGGTCCAATGTTGGCTGTAATTCAATCACCAGCTCAGCTCTAAGATGTCACCGTTATCGGACATCTGCTGATCACTTTAGACGATTAGTTCACAACCAGTCAAGTCACAGTTGCATGAACAATCTGATCGAGTTCCCTGCCCTAACGCCCAACTGTGATGCATTGAACGAAAGTACACACGTAGCACTAACAGGGAGCACGCATGCGCTTGAAAATGGACACCAGCTAGAACAATGTGACTGGAGAATCAGTGTGTTTCACAAAGTGCGCGAGTTGTGCGTTACGTGATTTCGCGCAGCTTTCCACCCACCAGGTCTGACTTGGCAAGCAAGTGTGCGTCAAAATTTAACAGACTCCTGTCAGCCTGATGCTCCTAAACGTGCTTGAGATTTATCAAAATCCCCTTGTGGGTGATCTTGCCTGTGACGACTACGAGTGATTGCCTTCTCAGAGGTAGCGTACGCCTCCCAGAATTACCCCATGGAACTACGCAAAACGCGCTGTTCGTGGAAGCAGTGCAATAAAATTCTTGCATTGTCTCCAGGCCAGGCGTCAACACACGGATCGCTGTTGTGCACAATGTGACCAACCCACAATCGACGTCAACAAGACCAAGCCAGACACGTTGTGCAGACGTGAACACGTGCACGACAGCTTAGCTCGCATTTGAGTAAATAAATTGTCAAGTACACTACAAACAACGCCTCGAACATTGTGTTTACTACAACGCAGCTGGTCTACGAAGCTGCTGACAGGTAGAAAACGTCGAGTTTTGCAACAATTGAGTTTCGGAGACGTTGTATCATCGGAAGAAACCGTTTTGCCATATTACATTGGCACGACTTGGACGGTAGTCGCACGTCAACAGACATCGTGCTATTTAAAGTCCCAAAACGGCGATCCCCATAGAGGGGAACCAAAAAGGAGGCTACTTCGGCTTCAGCATTACGCAATACTTTTTCCCTAAAAGTGTGTCGTTTGAAGGCTGATTGTGGAAGTCCACGGCACTCCTTAGCGACGCATTTGTGTTAATTTAAGCAGACGCAACACCTGCATGCTCTAGTTGGCTTCGTATTGTGATTTAAATCGAGACGTCGGCTTTGTGTGTGAGCCAGTAGACGAGTCTTAATCACTAAAACCAATTCGACGGCGTGATTGGCCAGGTGTGCCGCAAGGTCATTGGCCGCCAACCTCCTCCCCGCACTTACATATGTTCAAACACACATAACTCAACTTTTAACTCTGCAAACAGGGCGTGCATATTTACGTGAGTGTGTGAAACGACGAAATGGAAGCAACACCAATTAGAGAAGAGAAGCCACCTTAAAGGATTTAGTAGTAGAAAAATATGGCAAAACAAAAAATCCACACAATGTATGTACACTTGACTGGAGTCACTCATTCATGCGAGGCGAGCCGAGCAGCACGCTCCCAGGCCTCCCTCTCCTCACTGCTCAGCGAGGTCCACTTGGCCGAGAGCTTCTCCTCCAGCCAGGCGTCCGAGACGCTGTGTCCAAGACGCGCTTTGTGCTCCCTCCGAAGGGTCTCCCCGACGTGTCTGACGAAAAATGCGAAGGGGGCAATGCTGGTGGGGGCGGGAGGGGAAACGGCAGGCGGGAACTTCTGCTCCGACTGCTTCGCAAGAGTCTAAGACGCAAAAAAAGTTATGTTGGCTTGGGTTTAAGGAGAGAGAGAGAGAAGTGTACTAGCAAAGAACACACACACACACACCTGCGAAGTCGCCTCGTCCGTGGGTGATCCGACTTCTTCTTCTTCCGCGACGTCATCCTCCTCACTTTCAGCGCGGTCAGCTTGCGCAGCGGGCGGAAGCTTGTCGCCTCGAATTCTTAGAAGCCACTGCTCGGAAGTGGTGTCAGACGGGACCGGGGGGAAGCCCAATTCGCAGTAGAGACTGCGCAGTTCACGCAGCTCGAAGTCGATGAGAGCCGAGAGCTGGGCGACGGAGAGGGTGAGCATCTGGTTGGTGGAAACCAGGCGTTTCACGAAAGCACCCAGCACCTCCACGCAGTGTGGGTTTGGATCGTCTGCTGGCTGTTCCGCCGCCACCACCTTCTGCGTCGTCTTCTTCTTCTCCATTCTTCCTTGAACACATAAGTGCTGATGTTAGTTAAGATCACCAAAGAAAAACCATCTCGTAGGCGCAGGAATGCGATCGACACAACGCTGGATCTATGACCACAGAAACCCGACGAGTGTTTGTGTGTTGCATGGACGTTGTGACCAGAAGAACACCAACCACAACCCCACACGCATGCCCAAGTGAATTTCGCTGGCGCATTTTCGTCCAGTAAGATTCGCGCACAGGCAAGAGCACATGGTGCACGACATGGAATCGCTTTTAGTCACGAAGCAGTGGAAAGACATTCGCCCAGAACTGCCAGCACCATCTATCACGGAATATGTGGTGTAAGTGGCTTTCGAATTTGCCACTTCGATGTTTTGTCAGAGGGGAAAACATCGTAGACAACATGTCCTGGGGATGGGTTTTCGGCTACCATCATGTAATTTGAGTCGAAATTACGCAGTGCTTTTCGGATCCCAAAAAAATTGGCTATAAGTTGCACGTTTTGGTAAATTTGACACTCGTGGAAACTCACGAGGCAGCTTAAAACTAACAAACGTGTTCTTTTTTGCGATTACGCAAACCACTAGTGCATTCTGAGGCTCGGTTTTAATTGCAATCACGCATCGTTGCGCCATGTGGACGGGTAAATGCAGATTTGGGGTTTGATAGGTACAATGATCTTGACCAGACGAAGCAGTTTGTCGCGTTTGGTTAGCACACACATCTGCCCAGTAATAGCAAGATCAGTCACGAGCAGTAAATGTGCACTCATGACACAAAGGGACACATCTGAAAGCTCAAAATACCATGCACACGGCTTAGAAGCGCCAAGATTGTCTAAAACCACAGATTTATGTCAATATCACAGTTGAGGATACACACACACACACACAGGAGTTGACAACACACGAAAGGTGCGACTAGGATGGTCATTTGGGATCAGGGTGCTCGGAGGGTGGGCAGGGCGAGTTCGATGCGGTTGACCCAGAGGTTGGCGCAGGTCACGTGGTAGGTGCGTCCGGCGAGGGCTATGGTGGCGGCGGCGTCGGGGGACACGGGGGTCACGCACACCCCGCAGTTCGGCTCGACGGCCAGCGGGTTCACGACAGCGGCCGCCTCTGTCGGCTGCGACAGAAGACGCTTCAGCACCGACTACAAAAGAAATTGATTCAGGTGGTAGTGGGGAGGGAGTTGGGCGGCCAATGAGCTTGCGGTACACCTGGCCAATCACGGCGACGGATTGATTTTAGTGATTAAGACCCCTCTACTAGCTCACACACCAAACCGACATCTCGATTTAAATCACAATACGAAGCCAACTAGAGCATGCAGGTGTTACGTTTGCTTAAATTAACACAAATGCGTAATACCTAGTATGGAGTTTGAGGTTTAATTGACGGAACGTTAAATTCCCGTCACAATACCACTTATAATCACCAGTGCTGCAAACATCGCGGTGACAATTTACAAATGGCAGGACTTTGTGTGAGTCCGCTTCGATACATTTGCCAGAGTGGGAAAACCGCAACACTGTACGCACAATGTTTGTTTCAGAACACCAAAAAACGGTTTAGGCACGCGAAAGTACACCTGCGCAACAACGAAAATGCGAGTTAAAATCCCCATGCACACACCGTATTCCTCAATCATATTTACCGCCCGTTTCCCATTGGTCTATTTCCCACAGGATGTTACCCGCCCTAGTAGCGGTCAAGGTCACTTAAGCGGGCGGTGATTAGGTTTGATTTGATAACTTTTACTCCTACTTCTTGCCATTATGGAATCTCATAAGAAAGCTGCAAGAGAACAGCCTAGTTGGTGGTTCACAAAATGAGTTTCACCATTAAATATTTTGTTTGTGTGAATAAACGGTCACTGCTACAACTTTTGCTCCCATAATTCCATGTGGGGCACAGTCAGATGACCGGAACGCGTGTGCTACCAAACCACACTGGCGTAGCAATTAAAGTACACGTTGAAAGGCTGGTACACGACCCAAGGCACGACACAGAAATTACATTTAATGGACAGAGAAGCACCGAATTTACGCACGCAATACCTTGTGATCATTTAGCCTCACAAACCTGGCTAGTTCAGCCCAGGTATCGTCGATGTGGTTGAATGCGGTCTGCAATTGAGTGTCCAAGATCTCTACAGAAAGCAATACTAGATGTAGTGAGACAGGAAATCCACCAATGGGGATGAATTAGGTGCAGACTAGACCTACTGTGGATAGACGCTGCCAGACGGATTCGTTGGGCAACTCCGTAAATCTCGATTAATTCTGCAACCGACAGGAACAACAAAGCGAATGAAGTTACACGTTACAAGCTACTAATTGCATTTGAGTAGAAGGTCACGCACCAAAAATAAATTCGTTGCCTCGAGCAGTTGACAGAAAGGCATCGACATCGGCGTCTGTGACGAGGCTGGATAGAATAGAACTTGATTTGGATAACATGGCATGACACTCTGAAAGGCATTTCAGCCAGTCCTCAGTGGGCAGTTGTTCTTGCTTAAATAAACAAAATCGGCTCGAAATTATTGATGGTAGGTGCAGGTTGACGCGAGAGACTTGTGATTTGATCTTTTACAAAAGCTTGCCATTTTAGGTTGGATATCAACGGGATCTGGCGATACGGGCGTTACCTCCGCTGGGGGCTCGTAGGTACAACCCTGGAAACTAGAGACAGAGGAGAAGAAAGTTAACTCATCGACACGAGTTCACTTCCTGCGCATAACTTCGTGTCTAGCCTCCCAAACGCGATTGGCGTCATTACAATTCTAACCAATAGGAACTAAGTGAGTTATTCAATCCAACCAATAGGAACGTACTCCTGAAAAGCGTCATCGAGACTGGCGTCTTGTTGGCCACCTGGCCAATCAGCAAGATTGGCGGGATTTGAATCGACTGCCGGCTCCTGAAGATAAAAAAGTAAACCGGACGAGTGGTGACTTGGTCTTAACGCGGTGCAGAGACAAAACCATGACGATGGGAACAGTTCACTAACACGAAAATAAACTGTTTGAGTTTCGCTTTATTGTAAGCACCACAGGTACACGTCTACGAGGACGAATACGTTTAAAGTGGTAGGGCCAAAATGTTGAGGATTTCTTTGGAATTGAAAATCTTTAAAAATGCGACAGTGTGGAACCCGTTTACTAAGACGGAGACGCGAAATTCACGAAGAGGAGCGCGAAGCGGGCTTACTTTGGGAGGCTGAGGGAGATGCTGGGGAAAGAATGCGGAAGGTGGCTGTGTAGACACAGTTGAAGAACCGACGAAGTCATCAAACTGAAAAATAAAACCGCAGAAAATACCGCGATTAGAAACTGCGTCGGATCCAGTTCCAAAAACAGAGATTACGCATCTTGGTGTTAGTGGCAAGTTCGACTAATTCCTCACTTTAATGTGGTTGAAGTGAGGATTCCCTTGCTGATAACATGAAGGACTGCATTTAAACCGAGTGCGGAAAATCATCGTCGCATTACGTGCGAGAGACAGACACAAGAAGTCAAGAATAGAAAATCAGATTAACAACCGCAGACTAAAACGAACACTTACCTCGTCAGAGGGATCTGAAGGATTCGCCGACTGATGGAATTGAGAAACTGGGGAGGAGACGGGATTTGCGAAAGCCGTGTTCACAACCTGTGAGTGAAAACAAGTCAGCAAAACGAATATGAAAAGAAAGCCACAACTAAAGAGAATGAAAAGCGGCTCCAAGGAAGATTGCATTTCTGCTTATATTTAAGAAACCTTGAATTCACTTTAACTAAGAAGCCAGTCTATAAATTAATTCACAAACAGATAGGAATACTGATAAGAGCACAAACTCACATTCGCCATTTCTTGTTGAGAAAGATCAACTACAAGCGTCGGTTTGGAGGTCGACGTTGGAGTTTGGAAGGCAGGTTCAAATGAAGCAAAGTTGCCAAAGTCGTCTTGACACTCCTCATTCGCAGTACTATTGGCCTGCGATAACCTGGATAAACAGTACATGAAAATGCACAATTGGGATAGTAGAAAAGCAAAAAAACATTTTTTTAAGTCGGTAGCTTCATCAGCGTCAACAAACTTAAAATACTAACATTCCATGCTAAATACGCAGCCATTGCGTGCAAACGACCCGAAAAACGGCTATTTCAGCTTGGGAAACCTCATCATATTCATACATGTGGACGAATTCATAAAACGGAACATTTGAATAGGCTTAAAACACGAGACTCTATTTCTTGTAGGTAAATCTACACAAATAAAACGGAAACTAACAGTTATGGTTATCTATTTTGCATGACAACAGTGCAAATTCACGTAACCCAAATACACAGGACATAGTTATATGTGGTATGGCAAAAAGGGTCATACGCCTATTTTTTGGCACAAAATTGATTACCAGGTATCAAAAAGGAAAAAAACCGAATACACAATAATAACACGAACTTACGTGCTTTTTACCGCAGAGGTCATGGGTCCCCAGGTGAAATCGTCAACAGCTGGTCCGGCAGTTGTCTTTAGATTTGAAAACGGCGGTTCCAAAAACGATGACCCAATCTGAATTAAAAATCACAAGTAGTCGAGTAACAAAGGATTTCAGAAGAAACAAGAACTTATTTAGTACCATGTCTGAAGGATTTTCAGGCGTGGTGGTCGCATTGGAAGAACCCGTAAATGACTTCGCATTACCAGAATCTGATGAAACAAACATCTTTGAAATAAAATCATCAATTGAGACTGAAGGATCATGTCGCATGTGTTGCAACTTAGACTTTGTTATGGCGAAATACCGTTTCTGCTTATCTTTGTCATCCATCACTAACAACCGTCGCTGAATCGGCGTGTGAGCCAATTACCATCAGGGCTTATATTCTCAAGGTCATGAATGCTTGGCCGAAGTCCTGCAAACGAAAAATGCGACAAAAATGCCATTAGGATTTATTTGTTTACTGTTATCATCCAACCATATTTGGACTTTTGCGCTACATTTATAGCCTGAAATACAACGCAATAAACTGATCATGCTCGGGAAAAAATTTGATGGGTTCAGGATTTTTACAAAATAGAAAGGGACGAAATAATACAAAAGGCAATGCTGGCTGACGCATGCATTAAAGTAAACTTATCTTTCTATTGAAAACTCAAGGAAAACGTCATCAGAGCACACTGATGGCTCATTGTGAAAAATCGCAAAAATAAACACAAAACTGCTTCAGATATATCATTTATTTCAAAAGGTTAAACATTTAATCCTGAAAATGACATTTAATAAATGTTTCAGTCTAAATCGTAGGTCAGTGAAAAACATGGAAAGTTTAATTAAAGTAATTGTAATCTGCAGTAGACAAAACAGTGACTTAATTTGCTAATGAATACCACAAAACAAGCCCTGGCATCGAAGGCTCATATTGGAACCCTGCAAATCAATTAAGTGCAGAGCTCAAATGAAAATTTCACACCGCCATCGGCTGTCGACTACCCAAGTATTTTAAAATAAATGCAATAAATTCTCCCTGAGTGATCTATAAACTAATTGCAGACTTTTAATATGGCAAGTAATGTCAGTTGAAAGATTTAATTTACAAAAACCCTGGTTAATTTGACTAATTCCTTCGAGTGTGGTTATTTAATAAGTGATAAGATTTTTGATGGTTCGATTAAACTCACTTTATATTTCATCATTTATTGCATAAATGTAGCCCAAATGATAAGTGTCACTCAGAACAACTTTCCTGGAGAATTCGAACTATTTTATGTGTGTTAAAATTATGATATGCATTCCGAATGCGTTCTTCAGAAAACTTTGGCATTCGTTATTTATTATGATATATTGCAATTGATTTTAACTCACACTCCATTCTAAAAAGCAGATGCAAAGTTTCATTTGCGGAACTTTTGCAGCGTCCATTAACCCTATTATCAAGAAGACTGACAGAACGGAGCAAGCTTAATTGAAGTACGGCATGCTCTAACCGTTTGTCATGCACAGTCCATCCGAGTCAAGCATGCTAGCTAACAGCTCATTGTATCGGACTTCGATGGTTGGCTGCTAATCTTAATCGCAGGCATTTTAATAGCCAAAATGCTAACTTAGCTGACTGTGTGGTCCAATAGGTCTGCGTCCTTTCACGTTGCTTTTGTAGAATACCCGAGCCCTAGTATGAAGAAGACTGGTGCAACAGTAAGAGCTTTATTGACCAATCACGAGCCAGAGCCACATGTAAGGCGCCTTCCATCCGAGTCCACCACGCTAGCCACACCGCTCATTATATACTGCTCCTCGTTCGTGTCCTACTCTGGTTGGCTGCTTATGTTCCTCGCACGCCATCAGAACGCAGAAGGACACAGGATTGGCTGCGGCCAGGTGGTCCAATATGTCTGCGCACTAATCCGACGCCACTGTAGAATACCCGAGCCCTAA